TCAGAATGGTGTCCTTCCGGAACTCTTCAGTCCCGCACTTGTCAGAACGAGTAACAATCCGTTTATCCATTCATTTCAGCTAATCGTACTGGCTACTGCCAAACAGCCATTTCTGTTCTTCTAGAAGCCATACTTAATCATTCCCTCAATGTATACTCTGTAAATATCGTCGTTAATGCTTTTTGCCTGGCAGAAAATTTGTACATGTACGGATTCTGCTGGACAACATGTCTTCGTTGATAATTTATTTTAGCTTATTAGAATCTGTCTGGTTGGAATTTCATTTGATAATCAATAGCTACTCTCTGTAGAAAACACCATTTCCGTTCTTTTGCTGTTTCTGATCTCCAAGTCGGCGACGCGTTTTCTGTAGTTTCTTGAAAATTGTTGTTAGCGTTAACGCGTTTCATGGTTACCATGTGCATCGTTGCATGGAATCATGCGTAAAATTTCTTCACGCGTTGTTTGTAGTGATTGGTATTCACGATGATTGTTTTGAGGTGTATGCCGGTCATTATACGCTAATCAACACTTTTTTTGCGTTTGATAAGCCATGGAGGTTGCAGCTAAAGCTCCTCAAGATACCCGTGGCGAAGCTGCTGTCTCCAGTGCGGAAGATGCCGTTAACGGCGAAGTATTCTCTATTCTCTGCATATGATGAAGTATTCTGTAAATATATAAATTCCTTGTTTCAGAAATGTTCTCCTTCCATGAACGATTTGAGCGACATTCGGCGACAGCTCTCTAAAGCTCGCAACGAACTGGAGCTGCTGTCTCTGCAGCGTGATATGTTATTATCGGAGAGAGAAAAGACGAAAAGGTCAATCGAAGAACTGGAGTAATTAATTCGATTTGCTGTTCATCTGCTGTAGTGCCTATCTTCTAGGTTACTCGTTAAAGAGTATAAGAAAACAGTTAAGCGAACAGCAGGTAATGTCTACAGGACTTTATCATTTACGTGATGTCTTTTAAAGCTCGGTGTTCCAGTAGTTCTTAGCTTGAGCATGCATAAAAATTGATGAGGTTTGATATCGATGATAAACCAAAGAAGAATTTACCGAGAGATTATTTGGAATCTTCGTAGCAATTTCATGTTATGATGTCGATGTGTGGCACATTTGTTGTGATAATCATCTTGAGCGGTTTTAACAGCACGTCTCCAGTTTGTCTGTTGTATTCGCAGCTTTTCAACACATTTGCGATGAAGAACTGGTTACCGAATCGTGGAAAAACCATTTCATCTCTGAACGCAAAAAGCTCTAATATGTTCTTATGCTCTCTTCTTGGTTGATGTTTTGTTAGTACAACAGTTATCAGGTCGTGTAGCAATGCTCACTTAACGAAGACATTTCTTATGTAGCAGGCTTGCTAACGTGTCATTTCTGTTCTGTTTTTGCCTATATTATGTGCAGACTGCACTAAAGTGTATGTCGCTGTTTCTGTTTATAATTTTTGCTTAAAGGAGCCACATTCACGTTTTTACCTTCTTCTGTATCCAAGAAAACAAATAGTTTTGTTTTCGTAGAACGTATTCATTTTCACAGTATATCTCACCTTGTAAAATTTATATCTGAACATTTCAGCAGAAAACGAAAAGCGCATGCTTGAAAAGAAGGCAGATCTTGCCAAGACGATTCAGGAACATGAACAGGTAATGAATAGTCTGTTATCTGTCTTATCGATTTACGGAAGTAAGTTCGTTTCATTCAGGCTATTGAAGAGTTAAAGTCTGCCGATAACTTCGGTAGGGAACTCGTTCGTCGTTTCGAGAAGCTGCGGGCGAAAGTGGTCGCCTATAAATCAGTAATTTCTTCGTATTGAGCGCGCTTATTTAGTTGGTTTAATACTATTCAGATCAATTTTGACTCATTCGAATATTTCCATTTGTGCCGTTCTCTCTGCTTAGGCTGCGTTCGTGCTAGTCCAGCCCATGGACATCCTCAACAAAAGAAGAAGCCAGCACTCATACAGACCGGGGCTGATACACGAATACACTTTGGAAATCATTGGTCTTGCTCTTTACTCTGGCATAAATTTCTGAGCAGCTGCATGAAGATCTGATAGCTCCAAACTGCTGGCTGTCTACCCTGTATTTTTGTAACACAGTCCACAGATTCAATCAAGCAGTATGCAGTATCTCTTTTCTAGGTCTGTGAAGCAGTCGAAATCTCCCGCGTATTTTCGCCGACACGATGAAATGTTAATGTTTAATGCATTGTTCTGTAACTGAAACAAGTATCGATTGTTGTCGTGAATTTTCTCTTATGCAGTTTGTGTCATCTCGTTTCCCGACACATTGCTGACATTTTACTGGAGAGATTAAGCAGAGTCATATACCTGTAGACCCTGATTTTCGCACAGGAAAAGCTCTATCGAACTGCGCCTACTTACAGAACTTCAAGTTACCTAGTAGCTTTCTTATAATTGAAGAGGTTTGAAGTTGGTTTTCGCCAGAACTGCAGCGCCTGGACATTGTTTTGATGCCCAACACTGTCTTCGATAATGGCTGTCTGAAGAATCTGAAGACTAGAATCTTCTTCCTGAACTTAGCATCACCTTATGACACTATATGGCTTACTGATTTGCATGTCAGACTGCTTAGAACGCTGCGAAAGTAAGCAGTATACTCAAGGAAATTTTCACATCGCCATTTGTGAAGTGGTGGCAGAGTGATATTACTCAAATCATGGCGCTCACAAAAAATGGTGTTTCGCGAGGGTTTTTCTTGGAGCCCACGCTATTAAACTGTTGCATATATCACATCTCGTCAATCAGTATTCGTAGCTACGTATTGGCACATTATATCTGCTTGGATTGGCTATTATATCTGCTCAATCACTTTGTTTCTGATCTCAAGATAACATCATACACGACCTGGCTGCACTGAACAATTATTGCTACCTGAGGCGTCTGCTTCCAGACTAGAGGAATTCAGCTGCTACCGTCTGCTATCTTCACAGCATTAGTGCAGCTCGATCACTGAATATCTCCGTAGGCAGTCACAAAATGTGGCACGAATATCTTCCTGGGTGTCACGCTTTAATCTGCGATGTTCTTCGTCGTTTATCTCTTTAAGACCTGGTCACGGGCAGAACAGACTCGTACAAGGGATCACAAGAACAACAACGAAAGCCAATGCTATCAGGCTGCAGGTATCTGTCTTGGCGCTGTCTAATCTTGATTGGGCATTGTTTGCCTGCGTAGTTTCGGTTGTCCCACGTCAGATGGATTTACAAGGAGCTAAATTCCCTTGTGTTCACTGTGTCTGGCGCAAGGCGGTTGATAGCACTTCCATTTTCGCCGATTCTCACCAACGTAGCCTTATTTCACACATTTTAAGCCGTTGCAGCAAAGTTGGCGACAAATAATTAGCACTGGTTCAAGCTGCCGTTGCACGCTGACATATTCCGTATATCCATCGTGCAGCCGTATTCTTGACGGCCTTGATTAAAGGAACTACCAAACATGGGTTTCTCTCTAGCCTCTGAGTAGCAATTGCGTGGCTAGACAGTAACGAACCAATATGAAAACCTTGCGACTCGCTTGTCAAGCTTTTATATGCTGAACAGAATATGGGTGCTTCTAAATTGGTTCGCGCTGTTTCTGGTGTGTGCTCGTTTGATTTCTACCGACAGTATTTTTGAGGCAGATCGGTCTCCAGGGTGGTCACTTACAGAATGTGTCTTACATGATTGCCGACTTCTAGTGATTCGATTGGAACGAACCTTACCCACTTTGGATTCAGTTGCTGATGATGCTCTAAATTGGCGGGATTGTTGTGCATTTATTAAATGAATAAATGGTAGAATACTAAAGTTGTGTTGGAATACTATTGCTTTCAGGTTTACCTGAACGGCATTTGGATTTATAGGGACTTGGGGGGGGGTTGTATAATAAAGCCATTTCGGTAATTGAAATTAGGCGTAAAAGCAGTTTTCAAACATTGCACTGATATATCTGTGTAAGTTGGTTCCTCATTTAGACTCGACATCTCAGCTTCTGTCAGAGATTTTACCTCATTTTAGCAAACTGTCGCTTATTAATTGTTTGTAGAGGAACTAGTGATTGCCGCTGGTGACCCGAAAAATTTTGCATTCATGAATTTCCAATGCAGCCAAAGCGTTTGTTTTTAAGGTAATACAGTGAAAAAAAGACTATAGTGGCCGAGCAGTTAACGTACGCTGAAGAGCCGGTTTTCGAACAATTAGAGGCGGCGGTCTTTCACTTCATTTGTTTCAGCAATGTGGGGATAGAACAAGTTTTCAAGAAAGGTTCTGTTCTGATATACACGTCGATTAAATTTCTTTGTGACTTTTTATAAATCTACTTGAGATTAAAGGAGCTCTGAATGTAGACAGTGTAGAGCAACTAGTCTAAAGACTGAAGATCGCATTGACTGCATCTTCAATAGCGGTGGAGACTGCTTTCTCCTATTCTTTTTAATTGATGACTGTATATTGTATGTTGGAAAACACAGGCAACTCTAAGCACATTAGAGGTACACAGCATGCGCAGAATCCGTATGATTCCGTAAGGTTTGCATAACAAAATGACAACTGTCACAGCTCTTCACCCCCCTCCCCCACACCTATAAGTTATTCACTACGCGTTTCTTTGGTGATTACGCCAAGCACGGAAGATTCTTTGATCAGTAAAATTGGCAGCATACATACACATCAAGCCATGCTAAGCAAACGAACCATGTACCCTTCGTATATATAGCTGACAGCCATCAGCCATTATGGCTCTATCGTTAGTGGCGAACCTAGTGTAATGACGTGAAGTGGCTTGCTTCAAGTCAAGACTCGAATGAATGCTATTGTCGCCTGAGAAAAGTCTAAATGGTACAGGATGGTACCGAATCGCTTGCCCTCGTTTTAATAATCAGCTGATAATGGCTCATGTTAGAAGATAAAGCCTAACTTTGTGAATCCTGGCTTAGCCTTTTGGATAAGGTCGGTGACTGCCCACTGATCTTTGTTGATTCTAAGCATTCAGCTTTATAAATACACAAATACCATTTTCGTGTGTGTTTGCTTCAGAAAGAAGAGGATCAAAGCAATTTCTTCGAAAGTCTTCGATTAAAACTTGAAAAGTCGGAAGACAAGTATTTGAAGTTCCGTGACTATGCCGAGGAACAGATGGCAAAGTGGGCATCTTTTGTTTATTCGTACTGCTGTTTCGAAATACTGTTTTTCTTGACAGGATTAATCAAGAGTACGAAAACATTAACGGTGTGTACGACAATGAACTTTTCCGCATGAAGGCTGCGATAAAAAAGCAACATGTCCAAATAGAGACGCTCTGTAAAGAACGCGATCGAAAAGTGAGTTCTGACCAGTGAAAGTTGGTGCAATACAGAATGAACGTGCATTTTTCAGAAAAAACAGGTTCAAGAACTTTCATCCCTGTGCGACGACCTCGTACAAAAGAAAGACTAGTGAGTTTTGCATGCAGATGGAAACAAATTTGTTTTATGGCTTATTCTCCATTTATCGCTGTTTTCATTACTTCGCTGTATGTTCGCACTGCCCGTGTTCTGAAGCAGCAGCGCAGTTAAGCAGTGGTTATCGAACAGCGTTTCACTCCCCTGTACAGCGTGGCAACTTTAATAAATCATATTTGGCGTTTTAAGGCTTTTCTAGATAATTCTCTTACTTACGAAGAATGTTTTAACGTCATACTCCTAAGGTTTCAAAATCGTCACCCAAGCAATAAATAATGGCTCGTAACGTATCATGCGACTTCACTAACCCACAGCATGGCTAGGGCTAAGAAATCCACCTTAACTGTAAAACCGATCGTTGACAATAATTGAAGCATCCAATAATTTACAGCGTCATACTGTTACATTCTTAAGCGAGCTGAAATCTGTCGGACCAGATCCAGCAACGCCCTACCTCTTACGTCGCTGCCTTGTATGGACGTCTAGGCAAAAATGATATATGGTAAATGAAAGAAGCTTCGTTTTTGAAATGTTTGTGAATAAGCTGGCTGGTCAGTTTGCAATGACATAATACGGTAGTTGTTTCAGTTTAAAAAGGATTAAACAGAATTAGGATAGAAACTCCCATACTTTAAGGGATAGATTGCGAGTTTTTCCGAGGTCGTTGTTGTTGAGATTTTAACTTAATTGTGGCAGCCAGTAGTTTGGTTGAAAGTTGAGCTCAAAATTCGTCGGCTGTACGGACGAATTTTTCAGCGTTTTTACACTATTTCTCCCATCGTGCAAGCAGGTTTGCCTCACATGGGGTTCACTTTGCTGTTGGAAGAGCAACTTGTCTTGTGTGATCCTTACCTTGAGCAGAGAGCTTTGCCAGAATGCCTGTCTTGTAATACGTTTCTACAGTTTGCAGTAAAAGGTGATTACTGCTTGTAAAGGGAAAAAATCCTTCACTTAAAAAACAGATTAAGAAATTTTCGTTCTCATTCGTGTAACACATTCATGTCGCATGTGGTTAATACTTTTAGTTTCTATTATGATAATAAACTGTTGTGCTGCATTTGCAGCACGAACACCAATCCAGAAACAAAATTTCAATAACATGTTAATACACGAATTTGAAAAGGTAAGGCTCATGAAGATTAAAAGTGAAAATAATTATGCAGGGACCCACTTTGTTTTCTGCTGTTAGTCACATTCACATGAGATTGCAAGCTCAGACTAGCACTGAAGCTTTTGTTGAGTTCTGCGAACTCGTGTAGTCACTGTGAGTAACAGTTATGCAATTCCGGGCGGTAACAGTTTGACAAAGCAGTGGTTGTACCTACCATTCTTCTTTAGAACGATCTGAACTGCATATTACTAAATATAAACTGTATAAATAACATGTAAATTGCAGCGGGCGTTACTTGCATTCTATTTCCTGAACATGCATTACCAAGATTTCCTACTCATGAGCACCAGCTGTCAAAAATTTAAAGTATCTAAATAGTTCTTCCTGTAGACGTTCCAAGTTTTCGGCAGCCGGTGCTCATGAACACAAAGTTTCAGCACTGCATGTTCAGGAAACAGATGACTGAGTAGCCCGGTGCACTTTTTGTACAATTACACTGTTGTCCTGTTGAAACTGTGACGAAGTTCAAACTCGTACGTCATTGCCATAGAAAAGCAATTAAATTAAACTGCATTTATGTAAGGAACTCCAGTGAGGGACTGCACACCTCTACATCACTGATACTGTGTAAGGGGGCAGAAGTTTCTTCGTTTGCACAAGTCTGTAGTGCAAATTTAAGTTCGTAATCATTGGCGAATACAATAAATAACAGAGAGCAGCCCCTAAGTTAGCTGATTCATTTGCTCTTTGTTTCTTAATGAGCCTTTCATTTCAAATTTCTTTTATTAATCCCTGGATTGAATTTTTATTTGGTCGTTGTTTTTAACACTGAAATGGCAGCGCAGCATGAACTGTCAACCATAACGCGAAACAAATGCTTATCACAGTGATGATATTTTACAGTTTCAGACATTTTTCTCTGCTCCTTACAGACCTTCTACATTGAGGTGACGGTTAAATTCGAACAGGGAGACTTTCAGGAAACTTGTGTCTTGCCAAATTACAGCCATGATTAACCAGCCTATTTTATGTTAAATAAGCCGTAATTTGCTGTTTTTAGTTTACAGTCGCAGTTGTTGCTAATGTGGGATCAATTGCAATTCACAGTTTTGGGTGCTTCTTATGCCATTCCAGTCGAAACTGGGCCAGCGTTGTATGGGAACAGGTTTCGCTGAACAATGGCGTGCAGAGATAATATTCGTCTTACTAGAGAGGAACTGTTATCCTGAGTTTTTAATGACATTAACTTAAGAGATTAATATGCTGTTAAAGCTTAGTTTATCAAACGACAAAAAATTTAAATAAATACAAGTGTAAAAACGGCCAATGCTTTGTTTTGTTAAGCAACCGTACAGAAATATCCAACAGAAATGTACAAAAAATGAACGTCAACGGTGAAAATGTCAATTCAAGTGGGAATGGTCAAAGTTTCGACTACTTTTTCGAGAATAACATCAACGGGACATCGCCAGTTTTTTACGTCCTTCGACACTTTGCACCACAACTCGCCATGTCTCGGCTCAGCTTGGATGCATCTGCTCTTTACGTCTTCCTGTTGTTCCTTAAAACGACACTTTCATAAACCACACTGGCAAAGACTAACGGCCATCGCTTACCGGGGTGCCAAACATTAGTTCAAACTTGTAAAAGTATGCCCATGCATCACCCAAGTCCGGTTCAATCTTTACCGTTCGATTCATCCAGTCGCGCGTTTTCGCAAGCTTTCGTTCCGACCAGAACAGCCTTAGAAAAGAGAAACATTGACTTGAATATGAACAAACGATGACAAAGTATTAGTTAGAAATGACTGATGAACAGATAAGAAAAAATGCTGCGTTAGCACTGCACTTGACCAGGGCTACAGTAATGAACAGCAGTCACACCGACAGACCACCCAGAAGCAAGGAAGGGTCTGACAGCTATGAGAGATTACGGACATCAAAGTTGGACAGTTAGCAAAGCCGAAGGTAACTGCACTAAAATGATCACAACGTAGTGCCACAGCGTACAGGTACGAATCTGTTGAAGGAAGTTCAGCGGAAGCTATTATATTTACTTGTGTCACATAAAAAACAGCAAGTGTCCCTTCCTTAAGCAACATGAATATATGTAATCAAATAAGCAAGATAACCTAGAAACAAATAGACACTATGTCAGGTAAGCTCAAATCTGATCTATATATCCTAATGTTGTTTCTCACGGTCAATGAGGCATCTGACTGTAATAGAGAAAAACAAAAGAGCAATAGCTAGCCTATTTTGCTACGAAGTCATTAGGAGCTGACCTTGACAACACTAGGATGAAGCAAGATGCAGTCATCACACCGTTTCCTAGTTGTCGAGAAACTGCCTTTGGTAGGTCAAAAATTCCAAAAAGAAGGGAACGCTGGTGTTGATAAGGGCAAATTTAATGTACCTGCCACTGGCGAGGCGTTCCAGACAGAGATCAGCAGCAGATTTGCTGCTGTAGACAAACCAATAACTGCCAGACACAACGGAATTGAGGCGAAAACTCTTAAGTGCCAAGAGAAAAACGCTTCTCAATTAGACCCATC